GTGCTGGATATTGAGACCCTGTCTCAAAAAGACCTCCCCCCCAAAGAAAAGATGCTTAGACTAAAGCTGGGCATGGTGCCACATGCCTGTAATCCCAGTACTGAGGAGGCTGAGGCAGGAGGATTGCTGCGAGTTCAAGGCCAGCCTGAACTGTATAGGGAGACCCGGTTTCAAAAAGACACAAAACAAAAAAGATACTGGGACATATTATAGACAGCTAAATGATGTAGAAATATTACAGGCCCTTGAGAGGGAGTCAGAGCAAATGAGGAAGCATGAAAACTGTGGCTGGAGGTGCATCTAAAGAAAATTAAAGTCAAAATGGCTAGCTTTACATACTTCCCTAAGGGATACACAGAAGTTCAAGGTTATTGGTACCACCCTTTGAGATTTCCCATTATCTCACTAGGGGCGGGTCACCTCTCCCACCCACTAAGACTACAACCACTAAAACCACCAAGAGTACTAAGAGTAAGGCTACAGACAAGGCTAAGACTGAAGATTATCGACCAAGGTTAATGTCACCCATATGCCCTTGCTACCATGGGATCACCATTACCTAAGTGGTTATACTTGCAGTATTATTGGTTAATTGTAATTTTGACCCATGTTGTACCCACCTCATGATTTTGCTCTACAAAACTTCCTTTCAGAAGTGGGCTCCCTGGCAGCTCCCTTGGGGGCCCTGTGTCTCTCAGGACCTATTCCTATTACCCATTCCTTTTCCCAGTAAATTTCCAACTCTTAACCTCCATTGTTTCTGCATTCATTCTTCACTTCGGGAACACGACGAACACGTCATGTAGGACATCTAGCACTTTCCCTCTTTATCATCTACAGGCCAGATGCTGCCTCAACTGATTTGTCGGTTTATGCCTTCCTGGTTTTGCCTCTGCTGGACCCAAAGCACCTCAGGGCTTGCAGTGTCCCTGCTGAAGGAGCCCGTCACCGGCCCGACCAACTCCATGTTGTTTTTCTGACTCCATGCTGCCTTTCACCTTGTGTTCTGTTGTCCTCCGAGTTCTCTTGGGTCACCGTCCCCGTATTTAGCTTGGATACCAGTAACAAGAAGTCTGATGGGTGAACATTTTAGAACAGAAGGACCAAGACTACGTCCCGAGCAACTGCGACCTCCTCGGTCCTGAGACGCCAACCCAAAGTGGGGAGCCCCTGCCCCTGCCGCCAGCCCTGGTTGCGTCCCCTTCCCGCGGGCACCTGGGGCTGCTCTCATCACTCTGCAGACTCAGGTGCCCAGACCTCCGTCTGTCCCCCTGGGCCGCACTGAGGACAGAGCTCGGCTTGGGCTCGGGGACAGATGACACAGCCGGGGTGTGGGTTTTCCTGGAGCCAGGTTCTGCCCCCATCACTCCGGAGGTTCAGTCCTCTGAGCCTGCTAGGGGCCCAGAGGGCTCAGCCTGTGCCCTGGGCCCGGGCTTCTGCGTACTGGGCTTCTGCTCACCAGGGGCACGGGGCCCGGGCTTTCCCACAGCGGAAGTGCTCGCCCTGTGCGCTGGGCCCATCTTCGCTCCGGGCAGAGCTCCAGGGTGCCATTCTCACCCCCAGGGTGCTCTGCGTGTGTGGACTTGCCCTGCAGCAGTCTGGTTCTCCAGGGAGCCGGCCTCAGCAGGCTCTGCACACGGACGTGAGAGGGGACTGAACAGGGAACTGGCCTTGCGAGCGCGGCGCAGGTGGTCGCAGGCCACAGGGCGCAGTAGAGTGAGTGGCTCAGGCCCGCCCAGAGACCTCAGAACTAGGAAGTCAGTGGCGCGTCAACTGGAAGCCAAAACCTAATCACCTAGGGTGAGCCCTCAGCGTCCTGGGCGCCAGGGTCTGGCAAGGCTGGAGCTAGGAAATCCAGGGCAGGAGCCGCTCTGCGTCCAGCTTGGGGGATTCCCTGGGCCTGGAGAGAGCAATTGGCCTGTGTATTGTTCTCGCCAGGCCTCCAGCCAACTGGATGGCACGCTCTCATCGGGGGTGGAGCTTCCCCATCTCATCCACTGAGGCTGAGCTCCTGGACACGCCCTCAGGGACGCGCCCCGCAAGTCTTCCAGTCAAGTTGAGCCCTGCAGTCCACCAAGACACCTTAGAGCTCGGACGTGAGGGAAGTTACCCACTGGCATATACGCCTCAGAGTCCTTCTGTGAAAGCAGGAGCTCTTCCCTCAGAGCATGCGTGTTTATGTCTCGGAACCCTTTCCACGAACAATTCAAACACGGTCGGGAAACCTCCGAGAGCACTGTGTATTTGGTCCTGGCCTGGCCGCTGGCGTCTGCGGACTTAGAGCAATGCTTTGTAGTAGTACCCTTTGTTTTCCTGACAGGACCTTGCTGTGTGAGCAGGCTGGACTTGAACGTGTTGTGTAGCCTAGACTGGCCTGGAACTCACAGTCATGTGCTGGGATTATAGGTGTGCACCACCACACCCAACTTTTTTGGGCGGTACTGGGGTTTGAACCCAGAATGTTTGCATGCCACCCCCACCCCCCTTTCAATTTTTTTTTCTCTCTTTTTTTTTTTGAGATAGGGTCTTGCTAAGTCAGTAAATTGCCCAGGTTGGGCTTGAACTTGATACTGGGGACCCAACCTGGAATCTCTCTACCAGTGACCTACATCCTCACAGCTTTTTATTTTTGCATGGGATCTTACCAAACTGCCCAGGTGGGCTTTCGCTGGTGATCCTCTGTTTAGGCCGGTGGGGTATAAACGCGAAGGGTCGGCTCCTGTGCAGGCTGAGTGTGGAGCTGACCGGGCGAGGTGGGTGCCACTCTCTGGCTGTCCAGACTTGGCGGCTCTGAACGGCAAGGCGCAGGCTGGGGACGGCCAGGCTCACCAGCTGCTGGCAGAGGCGCTGCCCCTCTGTCATCCCAGAGCCACCTAAAACCCCTGCTTCTCCTCCCCTTCCTGGGGATGGAACTCAGTACCTTCACACTGAGCTCCATCCGCAGACCTTTTTACATCTTTTGAGACAGGCTCTTGCTTAACTTGTCCAGCTGTGATCCTCCTGCCTCAGCCTTGCAGAGTGCTGGGATGACCAGCCTGTGCTACCACTCAGCTTCAGGGGCTGTTCTTGTTTTTTTTTCTGGTACCGGGAATCGAACTCATGATGTTGAGCTTGCCAGGCAGGCGCTGTGCCACTGAGCTAAATCCCCAGCCCCCAGGGGCTGTTTTTGCTGAGTTCAGTGGCCACACAGTCAGCAGTGCAGGTGAGAAGACACCTGGTGGCACCCTGCCAGAGCCGGGCCCTGGCCTGGCCGCCACTGTCCACAGGGTGGGCGCTCCAGTCTGCCTGCCCCTCTGCACAGCTGCCGCCCTGGACACCAGCACGGCTCCTTGCTTGCCCAGGTCTGCACGCTGGCTCTTGGGCCAAAGCTGGTTTCCCTCTCCTTGCACGCCGCCCTGCCCCCTTCAGACTCTGAATCTGTTTGGGAGGAGGAGCTGCCTGCCCACGTTTGTGCCTCCTTGGATAGTATTCTTCTGCCTTCGCGCTTGTCACTCAGCCCGCTTGTATCTTGTGCTTTTATCACCGTGTGAAGATTTTCAGCTTGTTGGGGGTTGTTTTGTTGTTTTTTAGTTGGTCCTGGGACCCAGCACCAGGGTTTTCAGAGCTCACTTACCTGAGTTCACTATAACCGGCTTCACAACTGTGCTCAGAATATTCTGCCTCAATGTTTATCTTGTGAGTTGGGCCTTCGTTAACCAGTGTAGAATACGAACCCACAAATGGAGGTGCCTTGCCGGTTGCGTGCACTCTGAGGACACCTGTGACATATCTGGCGTTTAAGGAGCTGCCTGGGTGCCAGCAGAAATGGAAGCCGCACATTGATTCCAAGCTGATGCAAAGAATAATCCCAGTGCTTGGCAGATTGATGGAGGAGGACCACAAGCCATGCCTGGGGAATTTGGTGAGACTTTGCCTTAAAATAAAAAGTACAAAGGAAGTCGGGAGAAGATGGCAGAGCAGTGAGCAGCAGCAAAGCCACCTTGGGAGATTTGGAATCCAGACACGGGAAAACAACGGGGAAAGAAAGGAGGAAGGTGGACCCCTGGGACCCAGAAAGGATCTGAAGGGGAAACTGGAGCCCACGGAGGATGAAGTGAAGGGCTCCCCAGCTCCCGGCTTGGTGGGAGAAAGGAAGATGGGTCCCAGGGACACTAGGGGAGCAGGCACTGGCTGCTGGGGTGCCTGGCCCAGTGGGAGATTAGTTACACGGGGGCCGCCGACAGCAGTGCGGAGGGAAGCACTGATGGCCTAGCCCGATCAATAGCCACTACTGGACAATGACGGCCAAGCCCCAAAGCCGCTGATAGCTGTGGCTTCTCATTCGGTGCTTGGTTGCAAGATGGCATCACTCAGGCTGCAGGCATCAGTTATGGTCTGAGTCTACATGTGCCCCCAGAAGTCTCATGCAGCCCTAGGTGCTGGGGCTTTTCCGGAGGTGGCTGGATCTGGAGTGTGTGACCCCAGGATTCACGGTGCAACGTTAGCTGCAGGGACTAGGGTTAAGGGCGAGTGCTACCCGCGCTCAAAGGCCTGGGAAGATATAAGGGACGGAAGGAGCCGTGGTCACCCCTTGTTTTGCTATCCTCTTCGTGCCATGAACTGTTGCTCCCTTGTGATGCCCCCTGCCTGAGCCAGCTGAATATGGGCTGAAACTGAGCTGAATAAATCTTCCCCCTTTGCATTTGGGTGTCGAGTACATTGGCTCAGCAAAGAGAAAATAACAGACAGAACCCTTTTCATTTAACTTGCATAATAAGGGAGTACTGCTATTTTCCACGTATGTGAGACTCTGAAAAACTTGCTCAGGGTTACAACAGGTACCGAGCGGCTCAGCCAGGATTAAAGCTGATGGTGTAGGGGCCGGGGCTATAGCTCAGCAGCATAAGCGCCTGCCTGGCAAGTGCAAGGTCCTGAGTTTGATTCCTGGTACCAAAAAAAAAAAAACAAAAAAAAAAAAGGCTGACTGTGTCACAGGAAGAACAAAAATAATGAGCATGAGATATGTGCATTTAGAACTTTTATTTCAAAACCAAGAACCACAGTAATGTAACATTAATAGTAGAAAATCCGTGTGGAAATATTTACAACCTGGTCACTGAGAAATGGGGACTCTACCCTGCATTGCCGCCCAGGCAGGAGAGGCCCAGCGTGAGGGAAAAGTCACCTTTCGCAACAAAGCCTCCCTCCCTAGCTACAGTGCACCCGGGAATAGTGGGAACCAAGGACTGGAACACTGTCCTCTGCCTGGAGGGTCTGAGACGTGTGAGCACCAAGGAGGGGAAGGGAGACAGAGTAACCTGTGAGCAGGAAGGAGGTGGGGTAAGAGGGCTGGGAGGGAGATGACTGCGGAGACGCCCTGCTGCCACCCGGCTGTCTGAACCCTCCAGTTAGAAAGTTTACCTCCTCCCCCCACAGCCCTCAGACCCCTTCCGAGCCCCCGCTGACCCCACGCTCTCCTCTTCCCTTCCCCCTCCACCTCGGCCGAGGGATGCTGGGAGGTGGCTCTCCTTCCATCCCTGCTCCCCAAGGGAAGGACAGCAGAGGAGTGTGAATCAGAGGTTCCGGGTGCAAATGCCACCCAGCAGAGGCAGTGTTGCTTCTACACACAGGGATGGGCCGAAGCATTCTGCCCAAAAGGCGGGGACAGCAACACCGGAAGTAGGCCTTGAACTACTTCCACCAGAGCAAAGCGTCAGCAGCACGCACCCTTCCCTGCTCTCGGTGCCGTTTACCCCTGCTGTCTCCCACGTGTCCGTCAGAGGACTCAGGTCCCTGAGGGCACCCAGTGGGCGTCACAGTAACATGGTACAAGAGAGGCCTGGCACGGTAACAGACACGGACTGTTAAGCCCTGACCCTATAGTGACAGCACACTTAAAGCACGGAGTGATCGTTCAGGAAAAATCCTTTCCCACAGCTGAGGTCACAAATTCCAAAACTACCCATGAGGATTCTCCTCTGAATTCCTTTAAAGCTACGAGTTAAAAGTCAAAAATCAACAGATAAAATACAGAACGAAGTGGAGAACCGCCGAAGCGCTACTGAGGACCAGTACGTTGGGTTCTCCCTGGAGGGCTCGGCCTCAGGGGTGTGGGGCGTGGGGACTACAGGACAAGGGAGTCCACCAGGGGGAGGAGGGCTGGGTCCAGGGAGGGTCCCCACACCCTCCCTTCCCCGGACTCCGCCCGCTGCTCTGTCACGATGCCCGTCTTAGTAACAACCCCAGCTTTCAAGTAATACTCTACATAAACTATAATCTTAAAGCAAACTTCCAAAGGAAACCAGTAGTTTTTTGACACAGGCACGGGACTTTCCTGAAATGAAGTGTAAGGAGTCTCCTGTGAGACGCAGACGTCGCGCGGAGCCAGGGGCCCACCTGGGGGACCACACCGCACCCCTTTTTCTCCCTGAGTCCTGCCTTCTCACACCATAACCGCTCTGCTAGCAAACCTGCTTTACCTGCAACCTTTCTTTGCACACCTCCCTCTCACCTCCATTTGCTTGCAGTCTTCGCTATTTGGTAAAATTTTCACTTAAAAAAATAAATATTTATGCAATAAAACCAGAAGATAAAATAAATACACAACCCAAGTGACTTTGAGAACCGTGAGGCGAGGAGTCCGCAGATCTCCCTGGTGCCGGAGCAGAGCTGGCGCTCAGGGCATTAGAGGGCCGCGCGTGGCCCGGGGTGAGGTGCGGCCACCTGGCCGTGGCCACAGGAGAAGGTCCAAGCAGTGAGGCGCTCAAGGAGCCCGGGCACTGGCCGAGCCAGGGCTTGCTGAGGGCGAGACAGGCTCGGGCAGCAGCACTGGAGCGGTCAGTCCTGGGTTCGTTGGGGGAGGGGTCCCCCAGGAGGGGGTCGCTGTGGGCGGTCCTGGCTGGCGTGGCCTAGACCCTGGCGGCCGGTTGCTTCCCGGGCTGCAGGCTGTTCAGCTCCATGGCTGGGCTCTTCTGGGACCTCTGGGTATCCTGGCCTCGCCCTTCGAAGCCCCGAGTGATGTCCTCAAAAGTCCTGCCTCGGGTCTCGGGGACTTTGAAGAAGGTGAACAGCCAGAAGATAATAAGGAAGACGGCAAAGATGATGAAAACGTAGGCTTTCAAAGAGGCCTGGTGAAAGATAACGGGAGGGTTGGTGTTAATTATGCAACGCTGGTCCTTGGCAAAAGATAAAGGGGGCAGCTGGGGATTTAGCTCAGCGGCAAAGCGCCTGCCTGGTAAGCGCAAGGTCATGAGTTCGGTTCCCGGTACCGGAAGAAAAAACAAAACAAAACAAAAGAAAAAGCAAAAAGATAAAGGGAAGGTTGGTGTTAATTATGCAACTCTGGTCCTTGGCAAATCCAGCCTCCTTCACGTCTGTCTGCAGGAGGCCTCAAGCTATAACCACCCCCTACCCCGAGTGGGACGGTAGGCTTATTTCTGATACCATTGCAGAGCTACTGTATTTCTCTGGAATTGTGTCTTTCCTGTTCACTAAAGGCAGCTGCTTCTAAACACCTACGATTCTGGTCTACACTTAAAATCTAGTTTCTGGAAAATCTCATGCAAGTAGGAACGGGTTCTAGAAGGCCACTGCCACATTCTAACACATCAGCTCCAGGTCTTTTATTTTTGAGACAGGGTCTCACTATGCAGTTCAGGCTGGCCTTGAACACACTATGTGGCCTTGAACTTGCAGTGATCCTCCTGCCTCAGCCTCCTGAGTGCTGGAATTACAGGCATATGCCACCACACCCAGCGTCTCCAGGTCAGGTCATCTTATGATGGGGTCTAGCTGATTTGTCAGACCCTAAACTGAAGTGAGGGAGCCTTTAGGAACAAAGCCAGTGCTTATTCAGGTTGAACGAAGCATTGGTTTGGTGGGGTCCAGGCTTATCACTACCATTCTTTTCTAGGCAGAACTGCCTCTGATCTCAGAGTGGTCCTTCTGAGACAGGGTCTGCGCAGCTGAGCTGGCCTCAGATTTACGATCTTCCTGCCTCAGCCTCCTGAGTGCTAGCATGACAGCTGTGCACTGCCACACAGCACCCAGACTCGTGGTTCTCCCAAGTTCCCGGGTCTGGCCTCCTGCTTTGCTCTGCTTTCTTTTTTCTGTATTTCACCGAAATTGAGAAAGGTCTGGCTTAAGGCTAACTTCGTGGAGTCAGTGAACATTATCGTGGTGTAAACATGCTGGCTTCGGTGGGATTTTCCTTTACTTACTGCAGCTGTGGGGAAGAGCAGTCCAACCAAAAAGTTGGAGGTCCAGTTAGAACAACCAGCCACAGCCATGGCGGCCGGGCGGGGGCCCTGGCTGAAGAGTTCGGCCACAATAAACCAGGGGATGGGGCCCGGTCCAATCTCAAAGAAGGCCACGTAGACCAAGATCGCCACGATGCAGATATAGCTCATGTAACTGTAGTCGTCCTGAAAAAGGGAGGGAGGAGACGGTCAGAGACAGCAGGAGAGTGCTGGCACGTGGCAGGCCCTCCGCCTCGGGCACATGCAGCCTGTGGGATCCATGCAAGTCCTAGCTGTGTCCGTGTCACATATATCACTTTTCACCGAGACCATTTCATCACCTACAAAATGGACTATCCTCAAGACCAATTTTCTTTTTTGTGACAAGGCCTTGCTACATGTAGAGTTCAGGGTGGCCTTGAACTCATGGCGATCCTCCTGCCTCAGCCTCCCAAGTGCTGAGATACAGTCATGTGCCACAATGCCTGGATCAAATGACTTATCAGCGATCTCCAGTGTCAGCTACCTGCCCCCACCACCCATGACCTCTCCACACCACCTTCCCCGCCTCCGTCCCTCAGAGCGCTTACCTTCAGTAACAGAGACACCGTCATGACGATGGAGCAAACAGCCATGCCGCCAAGGCCGATCAGGTGCAAACTCCTTCTTCCTACCCTTTCCACCAGAAACACCTAGGAGAAGACAGACAGACACTGCTGCTTCCGCTCACGAGAGCCCTGCGTGCATGACTTGAATCCCGCCTTAGAAGAAGCAGGCACCTGCTCCAGCCACACCAGCCCCGGTGGAACCCGGCTGTGGCCCATCCCACATTTGTGAGGACAGTGAGGACTACCTACACCCATCAGTCGGTACTGTGTTCCCAAAGAGGAACTGAACAGGAAAGGTTCAATGGACGATGGGGAGGTGGAGAGCCAAGCACCACGCCTTTGACATCTGTAGTGAGAACGCTTGCCACCCCCAGCTGACCCTGCCCTGCAACTTACGGACACCACGGTGAAGATGGTGTTAACCACGCCCGCGCCAATGGTGGCGTAGATTGGCTTCTGGACGCCGGCATCCTGGAAGATTCCCGTTGAGTAATAGAAGACCTAACGGGAAACAAAGGATGCATCTTTGCTGACTATATGTAACAATTACATTGAATGCTCAAAAGTGAAGTCTCAGAAAGAAGAGTTCTTTTCCGGAGTCCCCATAATATTCTTTCTGCAAATAAATTATCTTTTGCATCTGATCTCCACCTGCTAAATTTTCCATTCCAGTCACTGGTTTCTACTTTTTTTTTTTTGTCTTTTTGAGACAGGGTCTCACTATGCAGTTCAGGCTGACCTTGAGCTCACTTTGTAGCCCAGGCTGGTCTCGAACTCACAACGATCCTCCTGCCTCAGCCTCCCAGAGTGCTGGGATTACAGGTGTGCACTACCACGCCTGGCTTTTTACTTTTCCTTCTAATGAGTATCCCCACTGCTCTATGTGCTCCTCTTCAGATCCACTTTGTTGATTTACAGAAAGGTAGAAGTTCTTAGTGGGCTGTATCCCAAACCTTCCAAACTGCCAGGCATACTGATGCCCCAATCTGATAGGGCAGAAGTGGAATGAGTAACCCTAGCTGCCCCCTCTTTCTTTTAGAGAGGGTGTCTTGCTATGTAGATTAGGCTGCCTTTACTATGTAAATGCCCTCTGCCCTCAAACTTGAGACAATCCTCCTGCCTCAGCCTCCAAGTGCTGGGATCACAGACATGTGCCACCACGTCCCTCTAAACTTGATCATTTAATAAGAGCCTGGGCTGGATTTCCCAGTCCTATGCTCTTTCCAGGGGTTTAGGACATAACAAGCTACTAATTTTATTTGATATATACTGTAGAAATAAGGTATTCTTTACAATATGCCTTTTTTGGCTTTGTTTTGTCTTGTGGTCCTAGGGATGGAACCCAGGGTTGTGCTAGTGCTAGAGTGCTTGGCAAGTAGGGTCTCCGCTATGCAGTTCAGGCTGGCTTTGAGCTCACTTTGTAGCCTAGGCTGATCTCAAACTCGCCAACGATCCTCCTGCCTCAGCCTCCGGAGTGCTGGGATTATAGGCGTATGCCACCACGCCTGGCTACAACTTTTTATTTTGACTAGCCCTTTTTATTTTGAGAGAGGGTTTTGCCAAGTTGCCCAAGCAAGGCTGTCACTTGGGGCAATCCTCCTGCCTCAGCCTCCCAAGAGAGCTAGGATTATAGGCCACTACACCCAGCTTAGTGGTTTTCTGACTGAAGTTTGCAAGGCAGGGCTGGGGCAAGGCAACTTGGAGGGACACGAGTACATCTCAGTAAACACTTCCTCCCAGGGAGGGCCTGCACCCGGCACCTGGCTGTAACTCCAGCCCTGCTATCCTCCAATTTCCTGTGCATGTTTCACTCCAGGGACAGAAGGCACACACATAGCGTCATTTTCAAAGGAGCAAATTCCAGACTGGGATGCACTGAAAACACTTGAGAGGCTTTCATGAACTTTGTCTTCCCAGACTCTGACAAACAGGTTCTACCCCCTCAAAGAGGGGCTGTGACTTTATCTTTTTGTCTTAGACAGGCTCTGGCTGTGCTGCCAGGCCAGCCTTGAATTTCTAGGCTCTAGGGATCCACCTGCCTCAGCCCCTCACACGGCCCGGACACGGGCACGGGAGCGCGACCCAGGCGTGGACACTCACGGCATTGATCCCCGAGAGCTGCTGGGACAGCTGCAGCATGATGGAGATGAGGATGGGCTGCCGGTAGCTGCGGGACCGGAAGAGCTCCAGCACGGTGACTTTCTTCTCCTGGCTCATGCGCAAGCTCTCGTCCTTCATCTCCTGGATGTCCGGGGACACGTCCTGGGAGCCCCACAGCCGCTGCAGAACTGGCGAGAAGAGCGAGGGGGAGAAAGGGGCTGAGCGCCCCCTGCCTAACAAGTGGAAGCCCCCTTCCTGGAGCGCGGCCCGGGCACTCACTCTTAGTAGCGCGCTCCTCCTCCTTCCTGTTGATGAGCAAGAATCTGGGACTCTCGGGGCACAGAGGAAGCGCCAGGCTTTGTATGACGGCCGGGATGATGGTGAAGCCCAGCAGCATCGGCCAGAGCTCCTCAGACCCCAGGATGAACGGCAGGCCGAAGATCTAGGAACCAGAAAAGAGGGTCACAAACCCCTTATTTCCTAGGCCACAAGTTCATTTTTATTTATTTATTTATTTATTTATTTATTTATTTGGTCTTTGTGAGACAGGGTCTCGCTCTGCAGTTCAGGCTGGCCTTGAGCTCACTTTGTTGAAATTCCTTCTCCCTCCAGAAAGAAACGTCTATCATCAAGAAATCAGGCCAGGGCCAGGGATATAGCTCAG